ATTAACATTTGTTTTAGGTATTGTCCAATCATTCAAACTTTGTTCTATGCCATTAACGGTTTCTTCAATAGAATTTATTTGATTATCATAATCTTGTTCATTATCGATATTTTTACCAGGAATATGTTTTTTAGATAGTATGCGTGAAAATTTACTCATATTTAAATAATTTTGCTTTAAAATTCTTTAAGAAAACTTACTTGTTTTAATAACGATGAACATAGGCAAATTGTCCCGACGATGATTGTGGTCCGGCACCGCGACCTACGTCCTTATCTGCGCGTTTTACGCTAATCCAACCAATCACTGGTCTTGTCTCTGAATCATACTTATTAAAACTTATAAATTTCTTAGAGAATATTAAACCCAAATTAAATAAATATGAAATAAATATCTCATGCATATATATATATATATATATATATATATATATATATATATATATATATATTACTATATTATTATACAAACCTTACTATTTCTAAAAATAAATTTAAGACGTCCAAACTATTAAGCTTATAGTACAAATAACAAAGCCAATATATATATCTTTATACCTTAATAAACATTTAGCCTAAAATATTGAATTTTAAGAGGTACAACCCTTAAAACATCACATACAACAACTTTATGCACTAAAAAGATTATGAATCTTATCCGGTCAAACAAGCAAACAAGAAAGTTTCAAACCTCCGAGAAAATCAGTCCATGTATATCTTCCCGTCGTTTGACCCAGTTCCTTGAAATCCCCAATATTTCGGTGATTTTCTTATTAGGTCAATATTTGATTTTTGAATTTCAGTTTCCCCAATATCGGCACCTATCTCTCCCATCTCACCTGATTCCCTTATATGTAGCATCTCACCATCATTTTGCTTCCTATTCTCCGTAAACCCTAACCACACTCCACCACCAACACAGCTCAATTACGTCGCCTTAACATCTAAAGAGCCACCATGGTCAGCACCCTCTCTCTCTCTCTCTCTCTCTCTCTCTCTCTCTCTCTCTCTCTCCGCCTCTGTGTGTGTTTATTTCTGTTCATGTGTGTATTCACCCTAACCAACATTTACAGGTACTACCATTCGCCTTAAACGTCATCACTCTATCATCGGTCGTTTGTTTGATTTTTAGGTTTCGTGTCTTCCCATTTATTCTGGTTTTCCTTTGATTTTATGTAATAACGAGACTTTCTTGTAGATAAATGGAAGTCGAGGTTCTGGATACGTGGTTCTGTGAAGCATAAATAGTGATGCTTACATCTCCGACGAAACCCCTGGCGGCCGATTAATCGGATGAACTTTTCATTTTTATTTTCCTCCTCTCACCTTGCTCTTGGATTTACAACAACCGGCTATGGTTTTTTGTGTTGACACTTACAATTTTTGGTTTTACAGGATTACAAGTTCGGTTGGGTTTTTTGTGAGCACTGGTAACCACATTTGAACTTTGTTTGTTGCGCCCCTTCCCATATATCTCGGCCCCATCCAATAGCTATTTGAATTCGTCCACAAACATGCATGTTACTCCATCTCCACTCAAAAGAGGTAAAACACTCTTGTTGCACTCGCTCTCTCTCCCTGTGTCCATTAGTGGGATATACTAATTACTATTTTTTCTGCTCTTTGTTGTTCATTAGGTTACTGAGAAGGGAGTGAAATTTTTTATTTCTTCAAATAAGAGAAGGGTGTGTTTGACCCTTATTCTCTAATTACCCATTTGAACAATGTTTCTTTATTTTACATTTACATATCTCCGATTTTAAGATGGAGAAGGATTCTGGATATATATATTTTTTATTTTGAATTTCTATTGATGTTTGTATTTACCCACCTCCACCATCCAAGCTCATGTCTCCACCTTATGTTGATGCTAGCTGTCGCGAGACTAAAAGCATCTTATTCTACTTTTTGACTCTAAAAGTTGATAAGATTTTGATATACTTCTTCATTTGGTTAGAATAGTCTAGATGTGATTCGCAAATAGAAAATGTTAGTGTTTGTTCTGAGCTAAAATTGCAAATAAAAACATCCTGATTTTATTTGGCAACTTTGGAGGTCATGTATTAAAGGAATAAGTTTGCTATGAACCCAACCATTATTATTTTTGATATGTTTCCTCTGTCTAATGTCTTGAAGTCAACAATCTCTCTAATTTCTTGAAGTTGGATACCATTGGCAATCTTCTTACATGTTGTGTGAATTGGATGGTTTAAACCATGATGTTTGTGTCAAGAAATCTACACCAGCAAAGTGAGATCAGTAGCTTAATGTAGACTATCCACTCTAATACGTTGATTAATTGCAGTTTCTAAAGAAGGTTCTTTATGAACCAAAGTTGCAGTGGGTCAGGCTTACTTATACGAGGTTAGTCTTTCCTTTTAGGCATATTTTTTAAGTAGGTATTTGTTATTCTAACATGTTGTAAATCAAGGTCTTTGTTTTGAGGATGATCTTTAGCATGAAAATGTTTATTAGTTCGTGTGAAAATACAATCTTGTAACATTAAAAATGAAAATAAAATTCCATACTTAGTATGGTTTCTTATTCTGGTTTAAGGCTAAAAATCACCTATGGATTTTATGGAGCATATTAGGATTTAGCTTCATATTCTTATGGAAGAAAGTAACTTTTTATACGAATTAAACAAAACCTCTTTAATAATGCTAATATCAATTCATAACATATGTAATCATAATTTCGCCTTTCATGTTCTGATTTCTTGAAGCAACTATAATAGCAATCAAAAGTTCACAACTGGCCTATTGAGTAAAAAGTATGTCTTCCATTCAATAATGCTAAAAGTAATAATATTCAAACAATGCTATTTTTTAAGGAACGAAAATAATTGATACATGTATTTTTGTTGCAACGTCAAACTAAATAAAAGTCATGTCTCATCAATTAAGTTAATTATTTCCACCTGAATTTCACTTATTGTTTTATACCGACAAAACTAAAATAATAAATCTCATCAATTTACTGATCAAGAACCGGTTTTGGTATACCAATATTAAAATAGTTGATGTTAATTGAAAATTGACAAATCGAGTAGATATCAACCCAATAGAAAGTTTAAACTTAATAAGCATACTCTTATAAAATACAAAAAAAAAAATTTGGTAAACATCCGTGACAAAAACATGAACCTTTCTTTCAATGTTTTTCATAGCAAAAGATAAAATAAATAAATAAATAAAATAAATTAAATTAAATAGTGTCTTAATCAAAGTCAAATTATTATTAACTTGCTCTTATTTTTAAATAAGTATTGTTACCGCTATTATTATCATTATTGTAGACAACCCCCTTTCCCCTCTCGATAAAAATTTCAAAAAGGCATAATCACTGATTTTCTATCATCCACCGCTATGGGTGCCACTGCGAAATTTATGGCTATATTGTGGAAGGTAATTAGTTTTTATTTTTCTGAAATGAAACTATTTGTCGTTTGTAGACACGAAACAATTCTTCATTTTCATTGAAAGCCTATTTGATGCATACGAAAAATAAAATAATCGGTTGAAGTACACTATCTCCGGAACAATTCAAAAGTAATAGTGAAACCCGACAAACATTTCAAAGGCAGTGAAGTCTATACATTAAATGTGATGTATAGAAAGTGTTACACGATTGATAATGCAAAATCAATCATGTGTCCATGTACATTTGTAAAAATCCCAACTTTTCATTTGTAATTCTTATTGATTTCGTTTTTACTAGCATTACTCTTATTTATAATTATTTAGATGTAGTAAACTATTTGCGCAAAAGACCTAATCGCCTCTAGAAACTAATTTCTAAGAAAAACTAATTACACCCGTCGCTTGGCGCGGGTAAACGGCTAGTATATATATATATATATATATATATATATATATATATATATATATATATATATATATATATATATATATTTGTTTCAAATCAGCATATTAATCAATATATATTTGTTTCAAATAACTCAATGATGGAAGCAAGCGGTGGGTAAACAAAGGCCATATCTTCTATATGATCGGTAAACAAAACGATGGAAACATACCCGTGGTATATTACCGCCGGTAAAAAGTGATCATGGGTGGTGTTTACCGCCAGTAACACCTTCCACGTAGGATTACCGTCGGCATAAATCTCTCCATACCGTTTACTCTAAACATTATTCACAATTAGTTTAATCTTCACACTCATAATCCTAATTCAAGGCTTATCACACCGTTAATCAAGACTTCTAGGTAAGTTAAGTTTTTGGTTCTTCTTGACTCTGTGATATATTAAGAATGTATTTTTTGAATTTTTTTTTGGTTTTTTTTATTTACTGTTTTTGACTTAATCATATTGAATGTATATGAGTGATTGACTTTTTTTTTATCCAGATAACACATAATATGGATATTTGGCTCTTTTATTGTATAGTTTTTGATTTAATCGCATTGAACGTGTATGAATGCTTGACTTTATTTTAATATTAATATCAATTATCAATATATGAAATTATTAATGTCAATTTTTTTAATGTTTTATATTTCTATTGAATGTTTTTGATTTTGAATGTGACTATGTGTTATATCACTCTAAGTATTAAAGGTACACATTTTATTCTATTACTAAAATCTTGGTTACAAACATTAGCGTCGAGGACTTTTTGCTATTCTTATTTCATTTTTTATGTCAATATAATTTTGCCATTTAATTATTTTGAACATTATGGTTAACCAATATTAACCATTAACCAAAACAGTTAACCGATAAAAACAATTAACCATAACCAATATTAACCATACCCAATGGCTACCAAAATGCATTAAGCAATCACAATGGTTATGGTTCGGTTTTAACCAATAACCGAACCAAACCGCCCCATACACACCCCTACGAGAAACAAGGCAAAGTCAACTATACACGATGAAATTACAAAACTTAATTCTTGGATGATGCATCCTTATTCGAAAACAATTGGACAATACATAGATAGATATCACACAGCTAAAAACAAGGCAAACTCAACTAACAGGAATCAGAAGGGGACGGGGCCATTGCCAGGGAACCATCAACCATGAATTTCACAGGCACCATGGGTCCAGGTGCGCCAACATAGCCCGAGCTCCTTATCTCGCTCATCCCTCTTCGTTTGCTATTTCCTTGTGCTTGACATAAACTCGGTAAATATACACCTTTAAATAAAACAAATAGAAATACAAAGTTGATCAAAATAGAGTCAACATTAATAAAATCAATATTATTGGTTCATAGTGCTAGAACTTTACGGCAAGCTATATATGAGCCTTATTTTTGTTGAATGTAGAAACAACAACCCACTATAGAGAAAGTATGGAAAATAAGACTTCGCCAATCAAGTCTTAATTTACGTACAAATTTGTCTACGTCTTTTCATCTTAATCAGTTATATCATGATTTTCTCACATATTTTTAAACATAATTTATGCGGACAATATTTCTTTCTATAACACTTATACGAAAAAACAATAAAGAGGTGTTACCTTCGCCAACGGCAAGATTATTGTATAGATCAACAATATTCGGACAACCATTGTGACATTGAGTTGAGCAAAGTTTTTGCATGAACCGAGACTCAAGAAGGGAGTCGGAGGAGATCCCTAGGATGTTACGGTCAAGCCCACATGCATCTAGGCATTCATCAGTTTCTATCCAACTTGCTAACTTATTAGTATCTATTTGTGAGGTACTGCAAACAAACACCTCCTCCCCGCTCCTTCGGACATTCTTCTCAAGCACACATCGCTTTCCACTAGATGATACGGCAAATGCACATTAGTCCTTGTTCAAATTCTCACATGCAATGCTTCCTACATACAAATTTTCATACTTTATTTATTGTTCGTATCATTAACGATCTTTATGGAAAATAAAGCTTCAACAAGATATATTGTATTTACCTAGAGTCTCTTGAACAGAGAATGCGAAGATAACTACATAGACCACAAAACTCTTGACAAAATTCAGAAAATCCATCGATAAAATTTTTTTGTGAACTAGATAAAAGCTACGAACTCCTACCGAATACTGATGATAAACAAATAAATGCGATACAATTTTGTGAACTGATGATGGTTGAGTTTGGGTGTTCCTATGGTACCTATTTATACTACGAAACATTGCTCTAGGTTCCACCATTTATGGGAAATTAATCTGCTTTCATACTATAATTCCACCATTTATTAAAAGAGAACCCTTAATTCATCAATGAAACAATCAGGGCCCTTGATTGTATTTAAATTCTATGATTTCCACCATTAGATCAAATTGCTGACATCATCTTCCCAAAATATAATTCAAACATTTAATTATAAAATCTTTAAATTTAGCAATTACATTTCAAACACAATTACATTTAATTATAAAATCTTTAATTATAGAATCTATCCATACTTTCTAAAATATATTTCACTATTCGAGCAAAATTACATTTAATTATAGAATCTTTAAAATCAGCAATTATGTTATCGATTAAATCATATCATTCTATTTATATATAAGATATCAATTTCTCCATAAATCTGACCAAAAAACATGAATAGCCGCCCCCATCTTTCTCCTCTATTTTTCTCTCTTAAACAATAATTTTCTAATACTCTTCATCCTCATGTCAATGGTTGTGCTTCAATTGATGTTTTGTGTGTTCATAACAGAATGTAGCACCATAAGGTGGTTCCTTTTTGCTCATGTATTCTTAGAATTTGCGTATTGCCTCTTCCTTGCATCTTTAATTATCACACCTCTGTTTTGGCTTCAGACAAATCTCTACAAACTGAAGCATGCATCTCCTTTAAGACATCTTTTGACAATCTATGTCATCATTAACCCTAATTAATATTGTCCATAATTTAACTCCCTTATTTATAGTTTTTCGCTTCAAAATTCAAACCCGTTTAGTTTTATCTTTTTTTTTTAAAAAAAAGTCATTAAATAAGCATACTAATAATTATGTTATCTTTAGTATCTCTAAATATTATTAAAAGAGAAACCTTCTGATATCATCTTAAATAATCTGGACTTTTGATTGTATTTCAATTTTATTTTTTCCACCCTTAGATCAAATTGCTGACATCATCTTCCCCATATGGAATGTATTTAATTCCAATAAATGTTTTCCAATCGTCAAACAATAACTTACATTCGTTGAAATGGAATGTATTTAATTCCAATAAAAGTTTTCCATATTTTAAATCTTGAATTTCCAGTTATGAAGATTTTAATATGATCAATTTTAAAAGCATATTACTAAGAAACTATTTCAAACAAGGCATTAATATCAACCATTAATATAAATCCGTTTATATTAGTAAACTATTAATATAAAAAACTATTTTTATTAGGAAATCATTAATACCAAAAATCATATTCAAATTATCACATACATATACGATTCATCATTGAATCCGCGGCTCACACTTATTTTCAATCGTTTCTTTTTCTTCAAATCTTCTCCTACAACATCATTCTTATTGCTTATAACTTCCATCATCATTCTTTGCTTCAAACATTCGCTCTTATGCACTAGAAGGTCAGTACCTTCTTTCGTTTTTTATATTTTTTTTTCGATTATTTTTTTGTTCCTATATCAAATATATGTATTTATATATTTCGATTTTCTTTGTCACAAATTACATGAAATCAGTTAACTACTTTTCCGAAACTTTTCAAATAAACATGAAAAGATATTACATACCTTTAACAAAACAGAAATTAACTATATTGGGAACTGACATTAATTACGAAAATGTTACTTTTACATATTAGAGATGATTATGATTTTTTTTTTAATTTTTATGTCATAAGAATCCGGTTAATTTTGGCATGATTTTAAAATATCATTGAAATTATTATGTTTTTGTATATCATACCAACCTACTTTTTTATCTTTATATAGTAACAATAAAATTTATAAATTTACACAACAAATATACATATTTCGAATTTTGTAATATTATTATACCTTACAAAATAAAACTCCCTCCAAAATAATTTTCGCCAGTAATTTAATCCATAATTTCACCAAATTTAAATTTGTATTTTCTTTATATAAATTTTTTTAATGATCCTGATTTTTTTCCTCCAAAAGTATATCAAGCATTTACGTCTTAGATAATGTTGCCCCATTATAATTATTACTTTCCAAAAATATATCCGTTTAATGAGGAATTTGATTTAATGAGAAAGTAAATGTTAATTAAAACGAGATATATATTCCATAATTATTACACGGGTTTATTAAAAAAATTAATATCAAGGTGTAAACATTAATCATTTTTAAAGTGAAATTTCAGAATACATACAAACGATGATGTTGTATAATGAAATATAAAATTGAATAGACTGAAAAAAAAACTATTAAGACAGTTAATCTTGAAAATAACGTAGTTATGAAAATGTATAAAGTAAGATAAAAATTATAAGCTATAAGGAGATTTGTAAAAAGTACAATTAGTAAAAGCGTTACGGTTATTAGAAAAAAATAAGACCGTTAAGATTAGTAAAAATATAATATATAAACTAAATTATTACAATAGTAATGAAATGTCATTATTTGATATTTCATATAATTGAAATATATACCAAATTACATTGATGATATACTAAAATTATTCAAAGTTGCGCCAAAACTAATGCAAAGTTTTTTTGCGAGCACTAAATAAATAAGAACAAACATAAAAGCTAGCACTTATATTCATAATCAATTTAAAATAAACCAATCATGATTTAGAAACCGATGGTGATGTTTTCTATTTTTCAAAAACCACAAATTTGCGGTGTGGTGCGGTTATTAGTTTTCAAAAACCGCAAAAAAAACCGCACCGCACCGCATATATTGTATACAACTTTTTTTATTAATTATTAATGTATTAAATATTAAAAATAAAACAAGTTTCATGAATGAAAGATAAATAAAATACTAGAAGACAAAAGTATGGTTTTTTGTTATGTTTAACTTTGAAAAATGGTGAAATTAGACAATTTTAAGAAATTTATTGTTAATTACTATTGATTTGACGTTTTTAAGATATTAATTGTTTGTGATTTAAGTTAATTGTCTTATACATTATGGTTTTTTTATTATTACAAGTAATATGTTTGAACTCTTAAAACCGTTTGAGCTCTAAACTGTGATTAAAAACCACACAAAATAACCGCACCAAATCCATGCGGTTAGAAAAACAAAACCGCACCGCAAAAATAACCGTCTAACCGCACCGCAAAAATAACCGCACCAAGTGGTTTTAAAAATGGATTAACCGCATTTGCGGTTAGTGGTGAGGTTTTGGCTAATAACCGCACCGAACCGCACCGCGCTCATGATTATATATTCGACTTCTTACCGAACATGTTTAATCTATCCGTTTTACCATTTTAATGTAATACTGGACGTCATTCCATTTGTATATTCTCTTTGTTTTATAAAAAAAATGTACAACGTATTATAATGTATATATAAAAATAAATATGTATTAGAGAAAAATCTAGACATAATTACACAAAATGTCCTTGTGGTTGACAGAATATATCACAAAATCCTTATGAAGAATTTTGAAAATGGATGATCCTTTAAGAATTTGAAATGTTGCATGGGAGGTTTTTATCACTATAGCCCTTTAAAAACACCATTAAATACATTTAAAATGGTCGCTTTATTCTTATTCTTTTTCTTCCTACTATCTTTGTACCACATTAAATTTTGACAAGTGGATTAAAATATTATCAATTTCATTAAATGTGACACATGTCAACGTTTGATATGGTAGGAGGATAAGTAAGAATAAAATGTAGAAATATATTTAATTCCTGGTTATGAGAAATTAAATATCTTCCTACAAAACGTAACTTTAATGCACATGGTAACTCATTTTCAATCTGTATATATAACGTAATGAAAAATGTCAACAGTCCACACATGTCATAGTAACAATTATACCATATTAAATGGACCACAAAAGTTAAAAATTATGTATGAAGGAGGCACACAAAATAAGACTTGAAAATATATCTTGAAGAAATTAATAAAAGAAAACACTATAAAAATAATATAAGGGGCTAAAAATATAACTTTAAATTATAATAAAGGATCCAAATTATAACATATAAAATACCAATAATTTAACCTTAAAATTATGAGAGATGAAAACTGTTAAATAAAAATTACTTTTAGATAAAAAAAAATGTAAACGTGAAGAATTACTACGGTTAAAGACAAAATATTTATTTCTAACTAAAGCTTATTTTATACATTGTATCTTATGTTGTCAAAATAGTAAGTTGATTTGTATTTAGTTTTTTGTTCTCTGAAATTAGCAAGGGAAAAATGATATATATATATATATATATATATATATATATATATATATATATATACCCCCACTTAAGGTCCTTCTGTAATCCCTTCGCCACCATCCTTCTTCGTGGCCATCTGTGTGTGTGTGTAAAAGTGGTGGAAAGAAAGCACTTTAGTGTGTAGCCTTTCATATCGTCTTTCATTTATGTATGGGTCAATCAGAAGACGTTAGAGATGAAGAATATACTTAAGGGTCAAAGAACGCCAATGAAAC